AAATTTCAGTGGAAGTCTGGCCACGGCGAGACTGAAACACCGTCGATTTCCTAGGAGGCTAGGGAGACTTGTGTTGGTTTCGTTTTACAGAAACCGTGGTAGTGTTTGTGGGCACTGGGTTGTGGGCACATTCACTACATTTAATGCACAATTGACATGCGTCGATTTCCTTTGTGCGAGCCCTGTACCGTGGCGGGCTGTGTTTGTGTGTAGAAATGAACACTGGGCTGTGAGCATTTTATTACACTTATAACACCATCGGCTGTGGCCGGAAAACCAGAAATACAATGATTACATGATTTTTCTGGGTCGCCGTGGAAACGGCCTTTATGTGCAGGCAAGCGGGCCGTGGTACCAGCTTGTTTACTGCAAAATACACTGGAACAGTCGTATTTTCTGGAACTGAACGAGCGAAAAGTTTCGGTGGAAGTCTGGCCGCGGCGAGACTAAATTTTTATCTGCTGCGAGAGCCGGGATCGAACAGGGGTCTCTCGCGCGAAGGCTTCGGGTTCCGCCACTGGGTGCGCGGGCGCCTCCCAGTCGAGGCCGATGCTTTCCACGGCCTGAGAGAGCAGACGCATCAGCTCAGTCTCAATGCCGGCTCTCTTATCTTTTGTGATGAGAAGTGTGAGTCGCGTCAAGTAAGCGAGCAAACACTCTCTGCAGAGTAAGGATACAAAGTGATATAAAAGGATATAGAACGCCGGAAAGCGCAGCAGGTACGGCAGTTGAAGGCGGCGAGGCCAGCGACTCCAGAGCTCGTCCCGCTGAAAAGCTTGCTTCGATGGCGCGGCTTCTCACTCCGGATCCAGCGATGCGTGTGCTTCGCTGAAGAGATGAAAACCAGCTTGTACCAGCCTAACGAGCATATTTATAGAGTGAGACCACGCCCTTTCTGGCGGGACGTGACGATATGGGCGCGAGTTGCCCCCATTGGTCAGTACGCCACGCAGAGTCTCTCTCGATAGGCTGCTGCATTTGCCGCAAGAGCAGCCAATAGGCGCACGAGCTGTCTCGCCTGTGTCTGCTTGCTGCTGCAAAGCGTTTTACATTAATAAAAAATTAAGGATAATTTTTGGCTTCAATATCTCGTGGAAAAGAGGTTTTCCCCTAGCGTAAGCTATTACGCAGTACGAGAGATACTCTGGTAAGAGAACTGGATTGTGATTGTTAGCATGGATGTCCAACTTTATTTTTGTTTTCTTTTTGTTTTGTTTATTTTTATGTTATTTTTGTTTTGTTTTTTCTCTTATTCACAGGGTGACTCAGTAAAAAAAAAAAAAAAAAAAAAGAAGAGTATGGTTCTAGGTTTTCTGTATGGAATGTATTTTTGCAACCGAAAATATAGTTTTATTACAAAACAATGGGAGTGATAGACATAAATTGTAGTACTGAATATGAGACATTTGAACATTACCTTTGTACCTCTACCAAAACAAGTTGTGATTATTACAACCCTGAAGATCTGAAACAAAATGACTTCTCTTTTTCTCTAATGCATCTAAATATTAGAAGTCTAAAAAAGCATTATAATGACCTTGTTGCACTTCTTGCTAGCACAGGGAAAAGCTTTGATATCATTGGTTGTAGTGAAACTTGGGTGAGTGAGCAAACCTTTTTAGATATTTATCAAATAGATGGATACTCATTGTACTGTATTAATAGGCAGGGTAGAATTGGAGGAGGGGTATGCTTGTATGTAAATTCTCATTATTCAGTGAAGGAGCGTCATGATTTGACAATTGATGATGGCCACACTGATTCATTATTCCTAGAAGTTAAAATGGCGAGTGGTGCATGTATCATCTTTGGAGTCATATATCGACCACCAAACTCTGACTATGAAACATTCAGAAACCACTTTGATAATCTCCTTTTCTGTATAAACCAGATGAACAAAAAAAGTATTATTATGGGTGACTTTAATATTGACATTTCTAAAGAAATGTAAAGGGAACTGATTTTTTAAATACTCTTTACTCCTCATCGTTCTATCCTACTATTGATAAACACACACGTGTTACAGAGAGATGTATGTCTAAATTAGATAATATTATAACAAATTTACAAATTACTGGTTGTAAATCAGGTGTAATATTTTCTGACATTTCTGATCATTATCCTGTGGTGTTCTTTACAAATTGGATAAAAAGAGTATCGGATCCATGTACTAAAACGAAGGTAAAAGTTCTTAATAACAAAACACTTGCAAATCTAATTCAACACCTCCAAAATAAAAGCTGGGATGAAATATATAATGCCATAGATCCCAATTTTGCTTATAATTTCTTAATTGATGCAATAATTGTTGCTATCAAAGCGACTATTCCAGAAAGGATAATTAAACATAAAAAAGAAATTCATCCATGGATCACCAAATTAATCTTAAAGTCTATCCAGAAGAAGGATAAACTCTATAAACAATACAGGAAGAATCCAAATAGTAATAATAAAATCTTATATACACAGTATAAGAATAAATTAACAAGTTTAATACGAGACAGTAAAGCAAGTTATTTCACTGATCGTCTCAAAACTGCCTCAGGGGATCAGAAGAAATCTTGGAAGGTGTTGAATGAGATACTTGGCCGCAGTAATAAATCCTCAGTTAACCCTGACATCATTGTGCCAACCCAATCAAATAATGATACAATACAAGATTCATTACCAGACTTGTTTAATAGATATTTTACCTCTGTTGGAAAGAATCTGTCTCAACAATTTGGTCCACCAGGGGATGCCAACTACAAAACATTTTTGAGGAATAATTATCCCAGATCTTGCTACTTTAGACCTACCTGTAAAATGGAAGTTATTAACATTATTAATAAAATTAAAAGCTCTTATACAGCTGGTGCTGATGGAATCTGTAGTATGATCCTCAGAGCTATAGTGAATGAAATAGCTGAGCCACTTGCCTACATAATTAATTTATCATTACAGCATGGCATAGTTCCTAAACAAACTAAGGTGGCAAAGATAATACCAGTATACAAATCTGGGGACAAAAGTGATATTCAAAACTACAGACCCATATCAATCCTGCCAACGTTGTCTAAAGTGCTAGAAAGGGTGGTTTATTCACGACTTGTAGATTATTTAAATAAACATAACATACTAGAATCTTCACAATATGGCTTTAGGAAGACTAACAGCACAAGTATGGCCGTTTTAGATCTCGTAGAGAAAATAAATGATGCTTTTGAAAGAAAAGAAGCCGGTATTGGGGTCTTTCTTGACCTTTCAAAGGCATTCGACACAATAGACTTTCAAATTTTACTTGGAAAACTGTCGCACTACGGGGTCAGGGGTGTGGCTCTCCAGTGGTTCAGGGACTATGTTTATGGAAGACGGCAATATGTAAACTTAAATGGTATTGACTCTGGATTGGAAAATATAATACTTGGGGTTCCCCAGGGATCTATTCTGGGGTCTCTATTGTTTATTATTTACATTAATGATTTTGTACATTGTTCCTGTAATGTTCATAAAATACTCTTCGCTGATGATACAAATCTGTTTGTATCCCACAAACATTTGAATCATCTTGAAAAACTTTTAAATGACAGACTAGCAGAAATAGATACCTGGTTTAAATGTAACAAACTATCGCTAAACATTAGTAAAACCTTTTATATTTTTTTTCGATCTACTATTCATAAGTACAGTGATTGTGTTTAATTAATTTAAATATACTGTAGATGGTAGAGCTATTCAAAGAGTGGACGCAATAAAATTTCTTGGAATACATATAGATCAATTTATAAACTTTAAGGAACATATTAATGAGCTGGTTAAAAAATTATCTAAAATTGTGGGTCTGTTCTTTAAAGTGAGACATGTTCTCCCACTAGACGTACTCTTGTCCCTGTATAGGACTTTGTTTGAGCCTCATTTAATTTACTGTAATATTATTTGGAATAACACTTACCCTACTTATACTGAGAAACTTTTGATATTACAAAAGAAAGCCATAAGAGCTATTACATGGTCCACACGTAATTCTCATACAAATGCTCTCTTCCATAGATATAGCCTACTAAAGCTTCCTGAATGTAACTTTTATTACAATGCATGTACAATGTACAATGTTGTCAACAGGTTAAACATTAGATTGTGTGAGCTCATTCCATTATACACATCTTCTCACACACACTACACTAGACATAAGCTGCTCCTAAAAGGTAAATGTAGGAACCTAACAAGTGCTAGGTTTAGTGTATGTTACAGTGGTCCACAATTATGGAATGAGTTGGATATTATTCTAAAACAATCTGCCTCATTATCTATATTTAAAAAGAATTTAAAGCAACAACTACTGGAGAGATATAAACCCGAGGGATTTGCGGCTGAGGGTTAAACCCCTTTCTCTTGGTACAAGGATCAATTCAATTTGAGGTACAAAGGTATAATGATTGTCAATTTTGTGTCTGTTTAAGGTAACAGTATTCTAAATACCCACAATTTAAAGAATGGTTGTTGCTTCTGGGAGTCCATTTTTTTCACAATAGAATGCATTTGATGAAATGATGTAGCAACAAATGCAATGTGTGATATTGTGGAAAATAAATAAATAAAAAATAAAAATAACTATTGGCAGATTGTAGGAAAATATGATCTTTTGTTATCATTTTTTCTTACTTTGTGCTTTTCATTTAAATACAACGCAGATTGTTGTTGTATTGCTGTCATTGTCTGTTTTGGATTTTGTTAAAATCATAATAAAAATATTATTCTAAATAAACAAAATGTATTAATGTGAAAATGTTTTTTCCAGCATTTGTACATTGGCATAATTTACAAGATGACAACCACTAATAAGCATGATTATAATACATTATTATTCAATCAGATCACTCTGTGATAATGATCCTCCTGTTAATAAAATAAGCCATCTTTATCACTGCAACCTTTGTATCAACTTGGAAACTTAAGTGTTTGTGTTTACTCCTGCATGCAGTGAGATGGTATTTACTGAATGTGAATACACTGTTTTACAGCTGGTGAAGCTGTGTATAGGGATGATAGATGCTGGAAGAGTTTATAACCAGGCCAACAAGCAGTTTGTGAATGGAATCAGAGAACTGGCTTTGCAGTCCACCAGAGATGAGGTCATCGGGGTAAGAGACAGCCCGTACCAGCTGTCTTTTTTGCTTTTTGTTTATCTTTGTTCTTTTTGCTTGCTTATTTCTAATTTACACTCTTAAGTAATTCATCTCACAAACTGTGGCCCTGTCCTAAATTATACCTAAGCCCTAACAGTCTTCATTAAGTCCACAATTTGGTGATGTAATGCCACATACAGTAAACTGTCTGGTAGTCTGCTGAGGCCCGCATCAGTGCACATCAAGTGTACCATTTGGGACAGGGTCCTGGTTTTTTTTTTAAAGTCCAGGCTGCAAGTTGTCAGATATGATTTTCTGCTTCTTTGTTTGACTATTTTTGGAAGCACTGACATGTTGACGCAATGCAGTGTGTGCTGTGTTTTCTATTTCTCTCCTCAGTCCAGTTTAGCAGCATTTGCTGAGACTCTGCAGGAAATGAACAACTATCATACAGTAAGACATCTGAAAGTATTAGATATCTTTATGTATGTTTATGACAAAACCTCCCTTTGGGGAGACCTCAAAGGTATAATATATTCAAACTTCAAAACTACACTGTAAAAAAAGTATGTAGTTTCTGCGATACTAGTGGCACAAATCGGAATTACAGAAATAAAGCATATTTTCAAACAACTTTGCAATTGCCCCTTCTGCACGTCACGCCTCCCCTTACTCAAACATCACAAACAAGCTCTTAAGGCTGCTTGTGAAGGTATGTCTCAACAGGTAAAAATAGACTACTTTCAATAAAAGTTCCAACATATTAGGAATACTTTTAGCTCTGTTGCTATTAGTAAGAAATTGAGTAGGCTAACACTATGTCTAGAGTGCCCGCAAGCACCTTGCTTATAATGAACCCATTCAACGTATCTGAACCAAATGCAGTTTTTTTCACATGGTGAAAACTCTTTGAGGCTCATCAAAGTAAACATAAACTGATACATTTGTCTTTCGGAACTGGTTGCAGCACATAGCATCGCAATGACACGTTCGTTTTTGTGTAATCTTTGAAGGTCTAAACGCACCGAATTTTGGTTTGCGCATCTATAAAAGCAGCTGAATTTCTTTTTCCATGCAACACGTCAGCCATGTTCCCACACCAGCTAAACACCTCCTGGCTCAGCCTGCTACAGAAGCCACGCTCTCGAATCAAATTAAATCAATAACAACAAAATGCATCTTTGCACTGCAGAGGTGGCACAGAAGTTGCATTTGAATTGGTACAATTACACCTGCATAAATAATGTAATTAAAATAAAAAATATAAGTTTGAATATTTAAATAAGACTTTACACTTTGAGTACTTTACACTGAATTTTTCGAAGCAGCTGATTTTAACGAAACAGTAACGAAACACCGCTGGCCACCAAACACTGTTGTCGTGTAAATGAACGGCCATAACGCATTAAAAGTTTTAACGCATTAAAAGTTTATAACTAATGATTTTTACAACAGAAATTAATCAATCAAAAACTTACTTAAACTGGACAATGACTCTTTTAGAGCTGCTGTACAGCCAAAACAATATTTGTTCCATTCATTTCATATTATCACTGTAAAGCTGCCTCGAAACAATCTGTATTGTAAAAAGCGCTATATAAATGAAGGTGACCTGACTTGACTTGTTGCTCGGACAAACACAATTCTGTTATGTATATGTTTGGAACTATTTTCATTGCCAAAATGCAAACACTTAGCCTTCTGGCTCAGCCTTCTACAGTAGCCATGCCCCTCACTATAGTTTGAACTGGAAAGAAATTTATGGATCTGTGTGAACCACTCTCAATGTTTTGTTGATGCTTGGAATGCTCTACGTTTAGAGTTTTTAGGGAAATAAACCCAATACTTAACACAAATAAACACAAATTACTTCCTCTGAACACCATTCTGGTTTAAAAACACAATATAGAGGTTTAATAATAACCAGTTTAAAAGTTTTTGATACATATCCTAATGACAGAGATGAATTAATGATTTTAAGAAGAGGATCTATGACCTCTGGAAGCATCTCTTTAAAAAGCTTAGTCGGTATAGGGTCTAACATACATGTTGTTGATTTAGATGATTTAAAGAGTTAAGAAAATTCTTCCTCTCCTATAGCAATGAATGAATGGAATTTTTCCTCAGGGACACTACAATGCACATCAGTCTGATGTGATACTGTAGTAGACGATTGCATAGTTATAATTTTCTCCCTAATATTATCAATCTTGCAAGTAAAGAAGTTCATAAAGTCATTACTGCTATGCTGTTAAGAAACGTCAGAAGTTGAAGCTTTTCTTGTTAATTTAGCCACTGTGTCAAATATTTATACGGTATTATAAATACTATTATACTTGCTAGTTCACACACCTCGTTGATGTTAATTTTAGTGATCTCTGACTGGTGAAGTCGAACATCATTAGTGTCGACATGAATAATAATCTTAGAGAATTTACAATTAGCATTAGCCAGCACTTTTAAATTTACTTTGATGTCAAGTCTCTGGGTCCTGGCAAACATGTGACTATGGTGGCTGGTGTCTCTATTTTCTCGTTCCGTGTAATAAAATCACCAATAACTAGGGCACTTTCAACAGGATTCTCAGTGGGTAAACCTTTTTGATGTTTTAATCGGAACGGAACAGCTGTGTTTTGTCCCGCGACTATGCCGTTTCACAGTCACTCAGTTGCCCTGCTGCACAGGCTCTACAGCCGGAAACAAACAGAGTTCAGAATTTCAGAGTTGTACACAGTTCACTAAGCTAGTCGCATCCAAAGCAGTATCTAAAGCCCTTGCATTTTTACTATCCTCAATTAAAGATTGGATGCGTGTCTCTAGTTCGGAAATCTTTTATTTTATTTACATAAGTGTTCATGTTATCTCATCATTACATAAATAAGTACTCTATAAATCATACAAAACATAACATTGTTTAATTAACATAATTTTGGGGATTTCTTCTGGTTAAATTTTTTTTTTGTTATTGTAATTATAATAATGATCATCATATCTATTAATAAATTAAAATACAACAATGACATTAATATAAAATAATTAGGGTTGATTATCAAAAAAATCTTTAATTATGATTAATTTTATGTATATTTAAATAATCTCATTTAATGCATTTCGTTCTAATTATTAGGTTAAATTATTGGGTTCAACCATAAGAAACACAAAATACGTTCTGTATTTCTCAAATGGCATCAGTTAGTTTTCTAAAATAAAAACCCACCTTTAAAATTGATTGTATATTAGTGTTTTCTTTTTTATTACATTGATGTTGTATTAGTATTTTCTACTTTAATTTGTAAGCAAACTCACAAAGAATTAAATGCAGTACTTTCTATTTGCTACCTTTCCTTTTAGATATTATTTGATCAAGCCCAGAGATCCATCAAGTCTCAGCTTCAGGCTTTTGTGAAGGAGTAAGTGTTTAAGTTCCCTTTCGAGGGAACTCGCGATGCGTCATCGATGCTTTGGGAACGCCCCCAGCGTGAATGCGTCTGAGCATCAATGTCTACTAGTCCAATGGAAAGAATGAGCGTCACGGGTGGGTGACGTCATGACCAGGAAGGGATAAAAGCACATCCGGTGAAACGCGGCATTAGCTTCTGTGTCTCAGCAAGCGATCTGTGTCATTTTGTCTCTGTCTATTTATTGTTGTCTGTTGCATTATATCTCGGAAACGTTATGGCGAAACAAGTGTACAAACAGTGTGCTTCTCCCTGCCCGCGTTATTTAACGGGTGGGGACACACACGAGCTTTGTGTCATTTGTTTGGGAGTGGAGCATGCGGTCTCAGCCTTCAAGGGGGCTGAGTGCCAACACTGTGAAATGCTACCGCTTTGCATGCTCCGCTCTCGGCTGTCACTCTTTGACAAAGAGAGTGGGCAGGCTCGCGATCCGCAGGGATCAGGGATCAGGAGAATGCATTCCTGGGGATCGCAAAAGGATCTTTCGGAGGGGTTGGAGACGGGTCCGAGGGCTCTTTCTCCTTCCTTACCCGAAAGATCCAGCGCTCCCCCCCCCCCCCCCCCCCGGTGTCGGAAGCACGGTTTCTTCCGCCTGGGGAGAGAGCCCTCCATTACTTCATTGCTCTTCCTCCGAGGAGGTCGATGCTATGAGTTTGGAGAGTGAAAGCACACACTTGGGGGAAAGAGATTCACAATTTACTTCTCCAGCATATGATGAGCTGGTGGATGTCGCGGGCTGTAGAAAAATTAAATATTGAATGGCCATCTGAGAAGAGGGGTGCTCGTCCTAAAAGCAAATTAGATGAACGCTTTTTATCTTCCACAACATTATCTCCACCACGAGGGCTTCCATTTTTTCCCGATTTGCACAATGAAATTTCTAAATCGTGGAATAAACCATATTCGTCACGACTTTTCAGCCCTCAAGTTAACACTTATTCAAGAATAAGAGGGCTGAAAGAGTATGGTTATGAGTCGATGCCCCAGGCGGAACAGAATTTAGCCAGCTATCTTTCCCCTGGTCCCGCATCGTCTCTGAAAGCCTCGGCTTTGCCCACTAGACCGCTCAAAGCCACTTCGGTGTTAGTGGGCAAAGCTTATATGGCAGCAGGTCAAGCTGGAGCATGTCTGTATACTATGGCAGTGCTCCAGGCTTATCAGGCTGACCTGCTGGGGGATCTGGATAGTAGTGAGGGAGTCAGTCATGACGATATTCGAGAACTTCGTCGGGCTACCAATCTTTCTCTCAGGGCTACTAAGGAGACCGCCAGAGCAATTGGGCGGTCTATGGCAGCCTTGGTAGCTACTGAGAGACATTTATGGTTAAGTCTTTCTGAGATTAAGGAAAAAGATAGAGCTTTTTTGTTAGATGCTCCGCTTGAACCTTCTGGTCTCTTCGGCGACGCAGTCCACGCGGTCGTCGAGAGATTTCAGGAGTCAAAAAAGCAAGCTGACGCTTTCAAAAAGTTTATCCCTCGCCGTGTCCAGCCCCCTGGGGCTGCTGGGCGTGAGCAGCCCCAGCCATCTAGCTCATCATATCGTGTGCATCAGAAAGAGAGTATTGCGTCTCGTGCACCTCCACGTGGAAACTGGAGACAGACGCAACCCTCTCAACCAAAGTCTTCTAAGTCGAAGCCGGATCTGAGGACCGTTCTTCAGGCGAAGAAGACTTCGGCTCAAAAAAAAAAAAAGGTCCTGATGTTCATGCATCAGGCCTGTGAGGACAGCCCTGACCGAAATAGAGTGGTGTACACCTCATTATACGGTGCCCGTTCCATTTCGGGTTCCTCACGAGACCGTTCTGCCAACCCTGCCACCCTCGGTGCTTCAGGGCGCAGCGGTCTCCAGCGAGTCGCTGATGCTATGCTGCGGCACAGCATCGGTTTCGCGCCCTCTGAGGGGGGCTTTAGAGCGGCCAGTTCAGGTAGTTCCTGCCATTATGTTTCAGGCTCCGGAATTAGCTGTCTCGATAACACCAGAGACCAGCCTCGAGAAGCTGGTTCCCTTAGTAAATTTTCTGGCAGCGTGGAAGCTTCTGGCGAATATTTCTCGTTGGGTCCTGCAGATTGTAGAGAAAGGATACAGAATCCAGTTTGGTTCTCGTCCTCCTCGTTACAACGGGGTGCTGCCCACGGTGGTGCATCCCGAGCAGGCTCTGGTAATGGAGCAAGAGGTAAAGGCCCTGTTAGCAAAGGAAGCTATAGAACAGGTGTACTCACCCGACAGAGAGTCGGATTTTTACAGCCGTTATTTAATTGTTCCAAAAAAGGATGGGGGGTTGCGTCCCATTTTAGATCTTCGTCTGTTAAATCGTTCAGTACAGAAACTCAAGTTCAAGATGCTGACACTCAAACAGATCGTGACTCAAATCAGATCCGAGGACTGGTTTGTCACGATAGATCTGAAGGACGCTTACTTCCATATCTCCATCCTCCCTCAGCACAGGAAGTTCCTAAGGTTTTCTTTCGGGGGCAAAGAATACCAATATCGGGTTCTTCCTTTCGGTCTAGCTTTATCACCCCGCACGTTGACGTAATGCGTGGATGCAGCTCTAGCCCCTCTCAGGCTTCAGGGCATACGTATTCTGAACTACATCGACGACTGGCTGATTCTAGCGGAATCAGAGCAGTTGGCGGTTCGGCACCGAGGTGTCGTTCTCGCTCATATGCAGATGTTGGGGTTGAGGCTCAATGCCAAGAAGAGTGTGCTTTCTCCAGTACAGAGAACCACTTTCCTTGGTGTGGTATGGGATTCAGTGACGATGCGGGCCACTCTATCGCCCGTTCGTGTAGCTGCTATACTGACAGCCACCAAAGAGCTAAAGCTAGGCCAGTCACGCACTGTAAAACAGTTCGAGAGACTGTTGGGTCTTTTGGCGGCAGCGTCCAACGTGATACCTTTTGGCCTGCTGTACATGAGACCTTTACAGTGGTGGCTCAGGACCAGAGGGTTCTCCCCGAGGGGAAACCCACTTCGTATGATCAAGGTCACGCAGCGGTGCCTTCGTGCCTTAGTCATATGGAGGAAACATTGGTTCTTAACCCAGGGTCCGGTGTTGGGAGCTCTTTGCCATCGTGTTACTATTTCGACAGATGCTTCTCTCACCGGCTGGGGAGCGGTAATGGAAGGCCGCTCGGTTCAGGGTCTGTGGAAAAGTCATCATCTTTCGTGGCACATCAATTGCCTGGAGATGATGGCTGTCTTCAATGCGTTGAGGCAGTTCCTCCCAGACCTGAGGGGCCATCATGTGCTTGTACGAACAGACAACACATCAGTGGTCTCTTATCTGAACCGTCAGGGGGGTCTGCGGTCGCGTCCGCTTTGCAAGCTGGCGCACCAGATCCTCCTGTGGTCTCTGGGGAAGATACTCTCCCTGAGGGCAGTGTATATTCCTGGGGACCAGAATATTGGGGCAGACATCCTGTCGAGGCAGGAGCTGAGGCCAGGGGACTGGAGACTCCACCCCGAGGCGGTGGAGAAAATTTGGGAGTTCTACGGCCAAGCAGAGGTGGATCTGTTTGCGTCTCAGCATACGACGCACTATCCACTTTGGTTCTCCCTGACTCACCCAGCCCCCCTGGGGCTGAATGCTATGGTGCAGACGTGGCCGAGGCTACGTCTGTACGCATTTCCCCCTGTTGCTCTGCTCCCAGGAGTTCTGGAACGAGTCCGCCAGTACGGGATAAGCCTACTGCTAGTAGCACCACGCTGGCCGAGTCGGATCTGGTTTGCGGACCTGATCCGTCTCTTAGACGGTCCTCCCTTGGAGATCCCGATCAGGAGAGACCTTCTGTTATTTCACCCTCGACCAGAAATTTGAAACCTGTGGGTTTGGCCTCTGAGGGGGCCCAACTCATAGAGAGTGGTCTCTCAGCTGAGGCTGCTGAGACCATTCTAAGCTCCAGAGCTCCAGCTACTAGGAAACTATATGCGCTTAAATGGAGAGTTTTTTCTGTATGGTGTTATCGACATCAGTGGGATCCAGTTAACTGTTCTGTGAACACAGTACTCGAGTTCCTGCAGGAGCGCTTTACGTCAGGTCTATGTCCTTCCACGCTCAAGGTCTATGTGGCGGCCATTGCGGCTTACCACGCCCTGGTGGAGGGTATATCGTTGGGTCGAGACCCCCTGATTACACGTTTCCTTCGTGGCACATTGAGGCTGAGGCCTGCAACTCGCACTAGGGTGCCAGCTTGGGATCTTGCTTTAGTACTAGAAGGCCTGTCTAGGGCTCCATTCGAGCCCTTAGATTCGGTTTCAGAGAAGTTTCTTACTCTTAAGACTGTCTTTCTTCTAGCTATTGCGTCCCTTAAGAGAGTTGGAGACCTTCAGGCCCTTTCGGTTTCCCCCACTTGCCTTGAGTTTGCACTGGGGATGGTCAAGGCGTTCTTATATCCGAAACAGGGATACGTCCCTAAGGTGCCGACCTTGATTCCGAGGCCTATTGTGCTGCAGGCTTTCTGTCCTCCTCCTTTTACATCTGCGGACCAGGAAAGGTTGAACCTTTTGTGTCCAGTGCTGGATACTTATGTTCATCGGACATCTTCAATGAGGAAGTCCGACCAGTTATTTATTTGCTTTGGATCACCTAAGAAGGGTCTTCCTGCTTCTAAACAGACGGTTAGTAAGTGGATAGTTGAGGCTATTACACTTGCATATGAGCACTCTGACCAGCCTTGCCCTTTGGAGGTCAGAGCTCATTCTACGAGGAGTATGGCGGCCTCTAAAGCCTTGTTATTGGGGGTTTCTCTCCAAGACGTTTGTGATGCGGCAGGCTGGTCCTCACCGCTCACATTCGTCAGGTTTTACAGCTTGGACCTGGATGCTGCCCCAGGTTCTCAGGTGCTTAGTGCTTAGCTACGACAGTCTGACACTCAGGTACTTGGAATTCTGGCGTTTTGGGTATTCTCGTTCCCAAAGCGTCGATGACGCATCGCAAGTTCCCTCGAAAGGGAACATCTCAGGTTACTACTGTAACCATAGTTCCCTGAGATAGGGAACGAGACGATGCGTCACCCTGCCATACTTCCTGCATCCCTGTGATCGGCTTGCTTCGACTTTTTGAAGCTAATGCCGCGTTTCACCGGATGTGCTTTTATCCCTTCCTGGTCATGACGTCACCCGCCCGTGATGCTCATTCTTTCCATTGGACTAGTTGACATTGATGCTCAGACGCATTCACGCTGGGGGCGTTCCCAAAGCGTCGATGACGCATCGTCTCGTTCCCTATCTCAGGGAACTATGGTTACAGTAGTAACCTGAGACGTTTTAAATGCTTTATACATTTTTTCAACACTGCTGAGTGGGTTGTTTTTAGGACCATTTCTCCTCTTAAAACTTTTATTTGCAGAGACTTGAAGAAGTTTAAAGATGCTAAGAAGCAGTTTGATAAGGTGAGTGAAGAGAAGGAGGTGGCACTGGTGAAAAATGCCCAGGTGCCTCGAAACAAACAGCACGAGGTAGAAGAGGCCACCAACATCCTGACCACAACACGCAAGTGCTTCCGTCACATCGCCCTTGACTATGTGCTACAGGTTTGTTAAGCCCTTTATTTTATTATAAAACATTTCAGAGTCAGTCCGTTTAGGTTGTAGTATCTATAGTATCTATCGTTCTGTCTGCCTGACTGTCTATCTATCCATCTATCATTTTATGCTGTATATTATATAACTATAGGCTTAATGTGTGTGTGTACAATACAGGGTGTGTGTGAAGCGTCTAGTGCAGTAGTGTAGTTGTGCTGGTAGTTAGTGCATGCTGCATGCCGCACTGTGCTCTCTGCTTGTTACTCACACAAACGGAAACTGGGTATCATACGGCCCCAGGCTAAACTACAGGGGATCTCGGAGCAGCAGTGGGCCCCGGAGACTGCATGGACACGCCCTGGCGTCCATCAACCACTGTACCAGCTATGGGCAAATAGCCCCACTGCCTTGTGGTTAGTCTGCGCTGGAGGTGTGCAATAGGTGGGCCTTAACAGACGAAGGACCCAGCAGCCTCCTGCAGCCAAGTTAGGGGACCAGTTGTCCTGGGACCACCCTTGCCATCGGGATTTACCTCATCATGGTGAAGATAGTGCTACTGGGGCTGGCGCACCCCCTTTGGCACTTTAAAATCTTCCTTGCGCAGGTCTCCATGTCTGACCACTGTGACAATACCTGGACCTAACATATAGTTAAAGTCTGATGGCGATGGGGAACTTCTCCACAACGAAATTGAAAACAGCAGTGGTGTGGCAGTGGACTTCAGATTAGATGGCAACCTCTTTAATATTAGGAGGCTACACGCAACCACAAAAATCTGTAAAGAGCAGGTCCTGGAGCTGCAGTATGCAGACGACTGTGCTTTTGTGGCCCATACTCCGGAGGATTTTCAAACTGTGCTTGCTGTGGCAGTGAGGGCGTACAGAAGGACTGTCAACACCACCAAGACAGAAGTGGTCTGCCAATGGAGTACCAATGTCCCACCCACATGACCTGCCTTCACTTTTGGAGATGAAGAGTTGTCAGTAGTGCCATCTTTCAAATATCTGGGTAGTTTTCTCTCTGAGGATAGCAGCATCGACAATGAAATCCAGAGCCGAATTGAACAGGCATCAGCTGCCTTTGGGAGACTTATGTGTAGAGTCTTTTTGTTCTGACCATCTTTCCATTTGTTGTTTATACCTGTTTTGCTTCTTTTCAGATAAATGTCCTTCAGTCCAAAAGAAGATTGGAAATCCTCAAATCTGTAAGATTTAGAAGACCTACAAATTAAAGTTAACTTAAGCTGCATTATTTACAAAGGACAATTTAACTACAGAAAAAATATATATGCTTTATAATCTGTCTTTGTAGATGCTGTCCTATATGAATGCCAACCTCACTTTTTTCCATCAAGGATATGATTTCTTTAGCCAGCTTCAGCCATTAATGAAGCAGCTCAGCGGTCAGGTACAAAGGCATGAATTAGAAATGTACACATGCATTTTATGTGTGTTTCAAATGTGAAGCTAATTTTGTTGGGTGTTTGGTTTGTCAGTTGGATCAGCTGGTGGTGGATTCAGCAAAGGAAAAAAGAGACATGGAGCAAAAACACTCAACTATCCAACAGATGGTAAAATATGAGCAGAAACTAATTTTTAATTCCATTGAAAACACATACTTTAAGAAAATTCTTCCTTATCTTCCTCTACAAATCTAACTCATGTTTTCTTTTTTCCCTATCAGGCTGCTTTGCAGGTAAAACTTCTATGAAAATCTCTCTCTTAAATTGTTGTAGGCAATTTTAAACAAATAGCATTGGATCATTTTGCATAAAGAAATGTAAGCCTTTTTAGGACCATTCAGAATTGTTACATTGTGAAAATATGTATTAATATTTTTGAATATTTAAAAAGTATTTATACATCATGAATGTATTTTTTATATTGCCTTTATACTGATTTATTTTATTTATTTATTTTATCCTTGGATAGATAAATAAATAAGAATCCCAAATTCACAGTGCAAACAAATCTTAATGGTCCTAAAATATTTATTTTTGTGTAAAATATGACTCAAATATGTTCTTATTTGTGTTTTTTAAAGCAGTAACATTTTCCCTGAACTTTTTAGCAACTATAATGAACCAATCACTGCATTATTTGACTGTTACTTTTCTGTGTGGATGTTCAAGGATTTCTCCACTGACGACACAAAACTGGAATATAATGTAGACACTGATAATGGAATAGCTATGGAGGGATACCTCTTCAAAAGAGCAAGCAATGCCTTCAAAACCTGGAACAGGTGTGGCTGCTCATTGTGGTAGTGAACTGTTTGTGTTGAGAGTAAGCTGACATTTCATTTCAGAATTAATTTTTCTTTTTTTTATAGAAATCATTTTTAGCATTTTTTTTTTTTTATTTGCCCTCATCTTGTTTCTTGGCTTATTGACAGGTAGCATATTGCATACTCTCTAGTTTTAAATCATTTGCCACACATCCTGGATCTCCAAAACCATCTTGAACACTTCTTACTTTCTACTGTCCACAAATACTCTCTCATAAAACCTGCAATCTGTGGCTGAATCCAGTTATTTTCTTCCCCTAATAGACGATGGTTTTCTATTCAAAACAGTCAGCTGGTTTATCAAAAGAGATTCCGGGTAAGTCTGTTGTAAAGACTTCAAGTTGTTGCACTGTAACTACAGTGGTTTTCTACAGTTATGTGCTGAAATGTTTCAGGATAACCCCACTGTAGTGGTAGAAGATCTGAGACTCTGCACTGTTAAACACTGTGAGGATGTGGAAAGACGGTTCTGTTTTGAAGTGGTGTCCCCATCCAAGTATGTTTGAGTCTGTCTTCTCTGGGTAGCATTATGAGTCTTTTTTGTATTGAAAGTTTGACTCGCATGACCTGTTGCGTATCAGGAGCTGGATGATGCAGGCAGACTCGGAGAAACTGCGCCAGGCATGGATCAAAGCTGTGCAGAACAGCATTGCTACGGCCTTCAGAGAGAATGGAGAAGAAACGACTATTGTGAGTCAACTCAACACACATTAATATAGTACTTGTCAGAGCTGGGACTCAAATTCAGGTCAATGGTGTGAGAGTCAGACTCTTCGAGCCACTGGAAGGTGGTGAACCAAAAAGTAAAGATGCACTTTGGAAATGTTGAGATGCAACAGAATTTAATTAAAAGTTCAAGCAACAAAAAATCTACTGATATAGCTGTAGACAGCAATAGGTAATTCCCAGACAGTGTTGGACAGTAATGCATTACTAATAACACGTTACTGTAATAATATTACTTTTTGCAGTAATATTCAACGCATTCTCATCCTTTGGCGTCATATATGTGACGCCATATGACATTTCGTCGAAATCTTACGCACATGGCATCCTTTAGCGTCAATATAACACGCACTGTTATGGGTAGGTTTAGGTCTGGGGTAGGGTACGGTTATGACGCCTTGGGATCTGCGTCTCATATTCACGCTAAACGATGCCATGTGCGTCGGATTTAGACGCGCGTCACCTGTATGACGCCTTGGGTTCTGCGTCTCATATTGATGCTAAGATGCCATGTGCGTAAGATTTCAACGAAATGTACAAAGCGTCACATGTATGACGCCAAAGGATAAGAACGGGCTGTAATATTGCAGTAACTAATTACTAATAAGATTTCAGTAATAATATTACAGTTACCATCCATAAAATAGCTCGTTACAACGTTATATTTTTTTCCTCAACCCCTACTAGCTTCTAGCTTGCTGCAATGTTGACGTCACATGTCGATTACAAAAAATTAATTTAGTAATACGTGGATTTTTGGAGTTCAAATCAGTAGTCTTGGTCACTGGTCTTGGATTCAGCAGCTAGAAATATTGACTTTGATTTTGTTGGGAGAAAAAGTTACCCATAAAATACCCATCCACATCCCTTTGATCCCAAATTACATTATACTCATTTACAAAAAAACTTTCTAGAAAACAAAACATAACATTTTCTTACGACCTTACATTAATTCTTTGACAACATGCATCATGAAATATAATCGTATCTGGGTAAAAGCAGAATTACAATTAGGATCAAGCTACACGTGTTAATTTATGAGATTAATACTATGCTTTTACTCAAAGTTCACTGTAAACCACCATCTAGTGTTTGTAATAACTTCCGATTGTGATCTAATGTGGTAATTTTGGTCATATAATGAGGCAGATATATGTTTTTTGTAGCAGTTTAGAAAAAGCTAATCCCTACACCTGCTTAGCATTTATCATGTAAACATCCTTTATTCCTATAAAAAATAACCCAAATCTTATGAAAATCACATACGTATGTTGATACAATTTCACGTTTCATGAGTAGAAATGTTTCTCTGGGTTAGTACAGTATGTACGGAACAGAACACACAAGTGTAATGGAACTTCATCATTGGAAAAGACAGATGCCACATTCGACCGTTCTAGACACGTCCAGTGTTAATTTTGAAACCAATTTTTTTTTTTTTTTAGTCATAGTCTTTTGACTAAAATGCCATTTAGTTTTAGTCATATTTTAGTCATCTGAATTGTTTTTGTTTTAGTCAACGAAATACAATAAGATTTTAGTTGACTAAAATCTAATGGGTTTAGTTCAATAGGCTTTATGCACAGCTTCACTACTTCCTGAACTTCAGCCAGCCCTTTGTTTCCTGTCTGTCATTATTGGACAAACTGATTAATCCAGGTGTGCCTGATTATTGTTACTGAGGCCAGGCACACCTGGATTAATCAGTTTGTCCAATAACGACAGACAGGAAACAAAGGGCTGGCTGAAGTTCAGGAAGTAGTGAAGCTGTGCATAAAGCCAATTGTACTGCATTAATTTAGAATTTCTCTAAAATTTCCAAACCCATTATATACTCCCGGAGAAAAAATCTATTAACCTGTTAATATGAATGATTTTAAAGTTTGAACATGCAATACAGACAGATTTAACTGCTGTGACATAAAAAATATTATCTTAAAATTAAATAAAACCACTTCTCCAAAAGAAGATCACAGGCTTCCTTTAAATGAATGATATATGCATTCTTTATAACAACTTGCATACATCTTTATTTATTCTTTCAAGCAGACATATTTATTTGTATAAATTAAATAATTAATTCTTATTAAAGAGCACTGAATTATTTTCTCTTTTTCTTTTGTTGTTTGATTAATATTAAGGGCAAAGACGGCATTATGTTTATTATGCACTGTCACTTTAAGACTGAATGTGCGGATACAATTGCACTGATCACATCCGATATTCTCACAACTGTTAAGGTTCTGTAAAGTCACCGACTGTCTCCCCAAAACGGACATTTAGACAATGCTGTGTGTATTTGTCTATTCAGATGCGAAAGAGAGCTCAATCAGTACTAGCACACAGTATAGCTTTCAATGTGCATGGCTGCACGGTTCGGGTGTGTGCACAGAAAACCGTACCGATTAGAGCTCTCTTTTGCTTTGAAACTCTTACTCAGATCTATCCATATGTCTGCTCTTCTCTTTCTCCCAGACGTTTACATTTTTTAACGTTTTATGAGACATGCATCAAGCGCATGTCAACTCATGTCCCGCCGGGTAGATCACATTATTCAAATGTGCGAATCATCTACCACAAACTCAGGACATCAGTTCTGACTGGATCTCGTCCCAAATTGTCCCTACCAAACTATTTTCGTCTAGTTTTTATTTAGTTATCGTCTCGTTTTCGTCTGTGAAAAAATGTTGTTGACGAAAATAATGATGAAAATTATTCGAAATTTAGGTCGACTCATCTGCCATCTTGGAACGTTAAACATTTGAGATGCTGTTGTCACTCATGCAGTTTTCCAAGATGCCAAAACATTGCGCAACCTTTGGTTGTAAAAAGATTTGAAATTCCTGAAGAAACACAGGTGAGAATGTGTTTTTATATGTATTTTTATACTATGTGCTCCAGATTCCTCAGTTCCACCTACTCGTTCCCAATCCCTGGAATATTAACCACCTGCGCCTGTCTCCCATCATTAAGAACTCTCATAAAGACTGTGTACACCTCACTCCGCTTCCAATGAACGCAGTGGAAGACGACGGGAACGCCTCTACCTCTTGGTGCTGGACGATTGGGATGGTTGGTATGGAACTCAGTCAACAGGGATGGGTCCAGAATGTCGTCATGATCGACCCAAGATCTTTCCTTGGGCCGTGACCCTCCCAATCGAGGTATTCCAGGCGACCCCCCCATCGTCGGATAGGATAGTGCTGACATTTTAGATGTGTCTGCATCCACTGGAGGAGGAAGAGGTATGTCATCAGCACCAGACCCTGGGTAAGGAGGAACCAGAGGATTAATGAAAGGTTTGAGTAGTGATACATGGAATGAAGGTGGTAGTGAGGTGGAAGGTTCAGATGGTAGGTGACTTAGTTGATCTGTCTCTGGATGGTGAATGGACTGACATAGTAGGCACTTGCGACAGGGCAGTCGAAGATGGATGTCCCGGATGGAGAGCCAGACCTTCTGTCCCGAATGGTATTGGGGTGTCGCAGCTCTTCTTGCGTCGGACTGGCTCCTATGTCTCCAAACAGCCCTCTGCAGATGGATGTGAGCTGAGTTCCAGACCCTCTCGCTCTCCTGGAACCAATGGTTGACAGCTGGAATGTCGAAAGGCTCACCTGACCAGGGAAACTGTGTCTGTTGGTAACAGAGTATGCACTGAAAAGGGGTTAATTCAGTGGTGGCTTGACGCAGAGAGTTCTGAGCATACTCGGCCCAAGGGAGGTAACGGCTCCAGCTGTCTTGACGATTGTGGGAATATGATCGCAGGTATCTCCTGATGTCTTGGATCTTCCGCTCAGTCTGGCCATTGGACTGAGGGTGGTACCCCGAAGACAGACTTAAAGTGACCCAGAGTAATTGGAAGAAGGCATTCCACACTCTGGAGATGAATTGTGGACTGCGATCAGATACGATGTCCTATGGGATTCCAAAATGGAAAAAACCATGCTGGAAGAGGGTTTCGGCGGTTTTTAGGGCTTTTGGTAAACCTTTGAGTGGGATCAGTTTGCATGCCTTCAAGAAATGATCAACCACTACTAGGACACAGGTGTTGGAGTCAGAGAATGGTAAGTCCACCAATTTCCGACGAAATTGATTCCGATGTGTGACCAAGGTCGTCATGGGATTTGTAAGGGTACCAGTTTACCTTCAGGTAGCTTCCGAGGAACCTTGGAGATGGCACAGACTGAGCATCCCCTGATATATCAGGAGACATCCTGGGACACCAGTACCGATTGCTTATGAGCGAGAGGGTCTGCCCAGCTGCCTGGTTGTGCAGAGCCCGGAAATGTATGAACTGAGTCCATGAGGGATTGGCAAAGGGCGGTTAGAACATATGTCCTTCCCTCAGGACCTCCCGGCGGAGCTGGCTCTGATTGCGTGGCCTTAGCGATCTGGTCATCGAGGGACCATTGAATGGGACTGTCCTGGATTATGCATACGGTACAGTGCATCTGCTTTCTGGTTCTTCTGACAGGATCTATAGAATACGGTGAAGTTGAAACGGGTGAATAGGGCCCAGCGAGCTTGTCCGGGATTCAGTCTCTTTGCTTCACGAAGATATTCCAGATTCCTGTGGTCTGTGATTACCTCAAACTGATGTTTAGCTCCCTCCAGCCAGTATCTCCATTCCTCCAAAGCCTGTTTAATGGCCAGCAGTTTGTAGTTGCCAATATCATAGTTGCGCTCCGCCGTGGACAGTTTCTATGAATAGAAGGCACATGGATGGAGGATAGGTGGCTCACCCTGCCGCTGAGACAAAACAGCTGCTACCTCTGTGATGGAAGCATCGATCTCAACGACTAAGAGGAGTTCAGGATTTGGGTGTGCGAGGGTAGTAGCTGTGTAGAAGGCTTCTTTCAACTGGTCGATGGCATTAGTGGCAGAAGGATTCCATGACAAAGACTTGGGCCCGTTGCGAAGCAGTGAGATGAGTGGTGAACTGATCTGGTTGAAATTGGCAATAA